AAAAAACAGTTTCCTTGATCGTATTATCTAGAGGTTCAGAAAAGGTGGAAAATTGACAGCTGAAGAGAATTTTTTAGGGAGCAAAAGAAGTAAAAAAATGAAACATCTTTTTACTGACTTTATGTAAAGTGACGTTTCACAGAAAAAAAAAAGAATTTATTCTTTTTTCAGTACTTTTGGCCCATTAATTCTTTCAAACAGTTCTCAATTTCTTCTATATGCCCGCTTTTCTACACTTCTTTTTTTCTTTTTTGTTATTCGTTTATTAATTATGAAGACCACTTGGGTTGGAGATCGTATAATAAAAAAAAAAAGGAGTAAAGTAACTAACTGCTTTTTTGTTTCTGCAGATTAAAGCAGTTTAGCCGGTTAGTTAGTCAGTAAATTAGTTGATCAGTTGGATGGTTAGTTACGTTCATCATCCTTTCTACTCGCTTCTGGTCTATTTTTTCCCAATCACCACTTGACAATCTTGACAAATTTATTTTCTGGCCATCGACGCACGCAATATTTGCGAGCCTCATTGAAAGCAACAATGATTAATCCAGTTATCGGACCAAATAACCAAACCTAAAAAGTTTCATCTGTATATCTTATCGTCCAAGAAGTTTGTTCTGACTTCCTGCACGGTTCTTTAAAGAAAATGATAACATACTGGTTTTTTTTTGTTACAGCTCTTTGGAAAAGTCAGCTTTTTAGCTTGCTTTAGAGTTTGACAAAAAAATAGCTGAATTATGAGAAATACTACTGTTACCTCTCCTGGCGGTGTATGTGTTTCCATAACATATTGAACAGCAGGTGTATAAACAAATAGGTTGAGCAATAAAATTTCAATGATTACTGCAAAAATAGATACCAAATTTGTGATTCCATGACGGAAGAACGATACACGTCTTGTGGTACACATATACAGATGGAAAACCTATAAATTTTTCTTTTTTCTTCTTCAGTTCTAATACTGCATTAGTAGTAATGACTACTATAATGTTTGCAAAAGCACAAACTGAAAATTAGCCGCGAAGTTTTAAAGGTTAATGATCAAAAAGACAACTGAATTGCAGTTAACAGCAACAGGGAAGTTATTGTTGGAATTGTTGCTTCAACGATTTAGTCGTTATGCAGCCAAATGGAATTGCTTACTTGAGAGAGAACAAGTGTAATTTGCCAAGCAGCAGCAGCTTGACCTTTGATGTACAGCTGCTCAGGTTCTGTGAAAACATCGTTGAATTGCGTAGTAAAATTGTTAGCATCCACTTTCCAATGGTCTTCAGCAGAAAACAGTAGGTCGACTAACGGAATTCCATGATACCTGTAAACGTACAATTCAAACTATACAGCACTGCACCTTGTAAAGGTTACCTTAAAACATTATATAATTTAGTAGTGTATGGTCGTTTAAAACCCCTGTTTTCTTATTAGTTTTTGGAATCTTTACAAATATTTTTTTTTCTGAAAACTTTTTGTACAGCAGGTTGAAAGCCTTGAAGAGTCTCAGAGAGTTTTAGAAATGACAGACATTTGTTACGATGTTGACTGCATCATTCTGACTAGCTAAATAATATATTCCTAATCGGAGATTTCAGATTTCGATGAATTATCCACTTAAAATACCCTTTATTAGTGCCCAGATTTAAGGTCGCACTTTTACTATGTAGCTGTCTCAACCAATCGGGAGTTCAAAGGGCAAAATACAACAAGCTTGGTTTGCATTTCTAATTGGGCAAGCGTCAAAGCGCCATTGCATTAAGTGTGAATTAAAATTTCTTGATTCATCATGAAACGAGGAGCGAACGGGAACCGTTTGAGGAGCAGGAAGTTGACTGGGAAATTACAACATTTTATTTTCAATCCATGAACTTAAAATCTGAAGTGCTGCAGCGAGATTTTGAGAAAACTTGCGTATTTGTTCAGTAAGACTCGTTCTTTACGGTTATTCTTGAAGTTAGGCAGAACGGCTAGGGCTGTTGCAGTTTATTCTTGCTTAGTGAAACAATCTCAGAAAGTCAGCACAGCTCCTCCTTTTTTTCTAAGTCGAAAAGACCTGCATAACTATGTAAAAGGTCCTAGGACGATCAAATGCGCATTTCTTGATAACCCGCATTCAAACCTTAGCCGATTATATATGGCAGAAAAGTCTTACTGCATTTCACGTTTTATCATTGTTTGTTAATTAAACGAACCTTAACGTCAGAACGCCGTCGTCACTTAGTTTATCTTGCGTATAGCGGGATGGTTTACTATCAAAGTTTATCCTCAGTGTAATAGTTGAGTGGATAGTCAACTGGTCAATGGAGCCTTGTTATGTTGGAATCACAGTTTATATGGTAAGTGAAAAGTAGAATTAAAACTTACCAATACACAAAAAGGTATGCGGCAATACAACCAAACGTTATCACAGTTCCGGAGAAGAAATACGAATATAGAAGCAATGAAGATGAAACAAGCTTTTCGTCACGAGATCGTGGAGGTGTACACATAATATCATGTTCTGGACTTTCATATGCCAGCGATATTGCGGGTGGCATTTCACTGGCCAAATCAATACTAAGAATCTAAAATTGTAATGCATTAATGAAAAAGACGAAAAAAAAGCACTGTTAGATGGCCAATGCTTGTCAGAAAGTTTCAGAATTTAGTTTCAATGAATACCTGCAGCGGCGATAACCCCAATGGCAAACCGAGAGAATAATGTAAAACTACAGGAAAGATTTCTGGCCACAAATGTGCAAGTGTGTAAGCAATTGATAGGCGCAAGTTATCGAACAGTAATCGGCCCTCTTTGATACCCTTTACAATTGACGCAAAGTTATCGTCAGTTACAATGATATCTGCAGCCTGCTTTGCTATGTCACTTCCTGTAAATCATCAATGTTTGTTCACTTCTTCAAATCTACACTTCTAAGCAATTCGTCAGTATTTTAGCTATCAATATTTGATTATACAATTACTGTTCTGTTTTAGAATACATATAAGTGCTATTTTGTAATTAGACACAAAACTACCATTAAAAACTGCCTACCGTTGATGCCCATAGCTATGCCGACATTTGCGTGTGCCAGTGCTGGTGCATCGTTTACCCCTCCACCGGTTACAACAACTGTTTCACCACGTTGTTTGCATTTTTCAACAATTAACAGTTTTTGTTCTGGATTAGTCCTGAGCAGAGCATACAGTTTAAACTTGGTTTTCTAATCAAATTTTGAATACATTAATTTGAAAAAAAAACAAACACTCTTCGGCCCAACTGTTTGATGGAATTTTGAAGCACAACAACGACAAGCAAAAATAAATTTTTTTTTCTTCAAAAGCAACAAATATAAATGAAAAGGAAACTACCGAGCAAAAACAATGTAACGATGCAACAACAGATTATTCCATTCTCCATCAGTCATTTCTGTCAAAGATTCTCCATCTACAACGGTCCAATTTGTTCGTTTGTTCACCGTAACAGCTTTATCCATCGCTTCCAAATCATAATTTACTGCCTTTTATGTTTATTTTAGTTAGTAAAAATAAAATCATAAATAAAATTAAAAAATTTAAAAACTTTTTGTTTGCACTTTTTATTAGCTCTGATTTACTTCTATCTAAATAAAAACTGCCCGTTAAAGATTTTTGAATTGAAGTTTTTTTATAATAGCGGATTAAAACTACAACCTAACGAGGTACAGAAATTACCGATAACTTACTACTTTACAAATGACTTTCTTTTTAAAATATTTAAAAATAATTGTTTTTTTGATTTAAAATAACGTTAAGCAACAAACATCTTCGCTGTCGAAACCGATCAGTCCAATTTGCCTTGCGATAGCTGTAGCCGTTGTCGGATGATCCCCTAAAAAACTACTGCTTTTTATTCATCTCAAAAACCGATTATCAATTATTTAAATTATTTTTTTTATACCATTATGCATTTTGAAAATTTTAAATTTTAAATATTTTGTAAGCTGGCAATAGACTCTAAAATTTCTCTTTTTGAAACTTCTTACTATTGAAAACTATAACGTATAATAAATTTTCAAGCTGTAGCATTTCTGCTAGCATATTCTATAGCTTTTCTATTGATGTCACTCCTTTTTTCAACTGCAAAAAAACTCTGCTTTTAATTACAGTTTGCTGAAAGTTTTTTAATAGTGAAAATTAATAATAAGGCTCTTCGACTGTCATTTATTTCAGACTTCATGTTTACAAAAGAAAACTTGTTGTAGGCTAGTCTAGGAAGTATCTAAAATGCACATACTAAGAAATAGATAATATAAATTTATTTGTTTCAAAACAGCCTCTTTCAATTTTGGCTCAAGTTTCACAGTTTAATAGTGTTTAAGCTGTACAAAAAAAAAAGTAGAAACAAAATTATTGGTAAAGCTATCTACCATTACCTGTAATCATGAAAACTTTGACTCCTGCTTTTTTACATTGCATTATGGCTTTAGCAGCATCATTCCTGAAAATAAACAAAAATCAGACAACGGTAGCTCTTACTGCGACATCACCTATCATTTTAGCAACAAACTTTCAAGAGTATAACACAGATCTCCCAGATTTTTCTTGCCTAACCTTGGTGGATCCATTATTGCCGCCATTCCCAAAAACATCAGATTTTCCAACGCATCATCCATCTCAGTGTCTGTAAACTTGGTGTCAACGTCGGCTTCAAAATATTTTACAGCAAATGCTATCACACGTCTTCCTTCACTCCCAAAATGTTCCCATGCTGCCTGTAATCTTCTAGCACATCGTTTAATTTGCACATACAACCATTATATTTACAGTTTCTTATTTATATATCAAGCAGCTGGCTTATCGCTTTATTCTTGATCTCTGGTTTTGATAAAAACTTTGTTGTTTAAATAATAGCTAGAGTTTGTAAAAAAAAAATAAGAAGAAAAAAAAGTAGTCGTAGAGCACAAAACTTGCTAAGAACTTCGTCAAGAACATACATTTACTATCTTTTCATAATCAATCCACCAAATTATACGTTCTTATCTCTTTTCTCTTTTTTTTTTTTGGAATAGATAAAAGTTTCAAAACAAAAGAATTAGGATTTAGCAGTCGAAAAATGAAGAATCTACAGAAATTAGATTTTATAGTAAAAGAAAACAGAAAAAAATTGTCAAGATCTAGTGCTACCTTGCAATCGGAAATTGTATCTTTATCAATTGGAACTTCTTCACCATTAATTTTGATGGTTTTTGACATTTTAAGCACTACTTCTGGAGCTCCTTTAAGCATCGTCACAAAACATGCTTTTTCAGCTATATCATTTGATTTGGAATCTTTTAAGTGCGTCGTTAAACATCGTGCAACAATTAACTGGTATCGTCGTACCGAATTAAACGGTAGTTCAAAAACAGTCTAAATTCACAATTTCTTGATAACTAGGAATATTACTACGAATAATCCATAAGTGCAGTAAACGTTAAGTGGTTAATATCTGATTAGATTAAAACCTGATAACGCTGTCGTATTCCCTCAACAGATGCGTTTAGTTCTACATAACGTAGAAGAGCAACGTCCGACGGTGTTCCAATAATTTTACACCTTTCCTACAAACCTTTCATTTTTGTCATTGCAGTTTCTGTTTAGAGAATAAATGCAAAACAGTTCAAAAAAAAA